TTCTTAAAAGCGCGTTTTAAGCTTTGTACCTCCTCCATTTCGTAGGTCCTAGGACAAAATATAGTTAGTTTCATCATAGGTATTTCCATCTAAAACAGATATTTGAAGGACAAACAGTTTGTATGCAGAACTCGCAACAAAGTCAATGAAACACAGGTATCATTTTATATAAAGTTTAATAAAAATAATAAAAATGTCCGCATACAATAATATCTATTTAAGTAACAGATTACAATAATATGTTCATCAATAATGTTTAAGTGTGTAATACATTTGAAATAATACTTAAATTTAACAAAAGATGAATCATTCTTAAACTAAAAAATTTAATAGCACATAAGTTTTAAATTACAAACAAGAAAATATATTAACTTGTCCTAAGCTTTGGTTAAATGTAAGAATCTCAAATTTAAAAATAGCTTGTTTTCCTTAAAACAATTTAGTCTGGTATTAACCTAAGCAGTAATTAGTAACTAACAGTTAAAAAAAATATTTGTTTGGATATTATTGTGCATTTCACAGTCGCCGTATTCGTGAAAAAATATATCCGTTTATCTATGAAATCTGTGTTAATGATGAATATCAGCAAGAACAAAGAATAGCTGACGGCGTTTGCTATTTAAGCAGTCTCTTCACTGTATCTTATCCTGGCTATATGTCAAACAGCGTGGTAAGGACAGGAATTTGTGCGTCTTAAGTCCGGAAAAGCTGTTTCCGGATCTCTTTTAATATATTAGGCGCGGGATGGCACTTCGCGTGGTTTTAGCCAGTTTAATTCACTCACACCACCCCACCACAAATTCCGGTGGAGAGATGGCATGAAGGTGTTTCTACACGCACAGAAAACGGATTTATTCTTCTTCTCTCTTCTCTTCTACACCGATCTCTATTGTGTAATAGTCGTATTCTATTTGCAAAAAAGCCAGTACTTATCAGTCGACATTTTTAAGATATTAGAAAATCTTAAACGTCAAATACTTATTAGGCGTGGTAACATTTTAATCAATGGTATTGAGTATTATGGTTATTTATAGCTGAATATAAAAACACAGACAAAATGTTTTACTAATTTATGAGCACCTTAGATTCAGCGACGATACACTTAAAATATTTATTTGGTTAGTAACATGGACGTATAAAAAAAGTCAGACGGAACTTTCGCTATCACAAAACTGAGGCACCGTAATGGCGGCAGCTCTGTGTGTGTGAACGAATTTTTGGGTTGCCAAGTTATCCAAATTTATACCCCAGATTTACTATTAAATGTCCTAAATGCTTAGTCGTTTTTCTTTTTATAAAAATGTCTTTTACTTTAAGAAGTTCTTGAAATTTCCTCTAATTTCGAGATGAGGAAAACCTAACATTAAATATTTTTCTGCTAAATACTTAATAAGACTTTTCTTGTATTCTATTCCGTCGAAAGTATGTTCAGATTTAAACTTAGAATCTTTCATTGCCAACAAACTTTTCTAGAATTTATGTGAGAATAGATTTGTGTTGTTTTTATTACATTATATTATAATTTCTAATTATTCCTTTAAAAGTTTAGTAAAAGAACATGGAATAGTATACATAGTAGTAACTATTAAATAAATAACCTTAAAAAATTTATTTTAATAACAAACCAAAAAATTCCTTTGTTTCGGGTAATTTACACAATGGCAACATTGGAAATAATGAATTCTTTTGACCTAGCGAATGCTAATTATTTTTAATGTATAAAATCTGGACATAAATGATTAAATTATTCATTTACCTATAAAACGCGATTCCTGGATAATTTTTCTTTCGGACGGTATGGTTTTTACAGAATTTCACTACGCAAAACATGTTGTTTATTTAAATGTTTTCGCCGCGTAATGCGTCTCGCTGTCTTGATGTTTGCGAGCGTAATGGCCGACTAATGTGTGTAAGTGTGCGTACCGGCCTGTTTTTTGTTAGCGAGACTGTACGACTTTTTTATACATCCATGGTTAGTAGATGATTTTTTATTACCATATATCCTAGTTACTACTGGCATAAAGTTAGAAAATAACGTACAAATTTGGCCAAAAAAAAACTACGCTAGAAGCCTCATGAAAGGAGGTTTTAATGTATTTTTTGGGATTTTTAAACTGTGTTATATCGTTAACCAGCTGACTACGCAACTTTGTCTGAGTCTCTCAATACGAATGTATTTTCGTCATATTTCCATTTTTTTTCATTGATGCTTTGTTCCCATTAGTCGTAGCGTCATGGTCATATTCAAAACTAAAATAATTTTTCAATTCGAATGTCTATCATTTAGCATTGCTATGGAGTGTAGAGGCAAGGAGAACCATCCCATATGGGGGGAAAGTTGAAAAAGTGTTAAGCAGTATACAGAATGGATAGAGGTCGATTGCGTACGAAAAACCACTATATGAACATAACTGTTGTAGACGAAGTGAAGTGTGCTGAGTTAAAATATTATAATATTTTTATTGTCTGAAAATTATTACATGTTTATTTATTGTCTGTAAAATACATTGACTAGTTCTCCTTGCCTCTACCCTCCATAAGCATTGCCAATGAACCGTATAAAGAAATCCTTGTAGATATCTGTGGAACATATGTCATTTTCGCACTTGCCAGTAACAAAATAACTAATGAAATGAATCTATAAACTATGGCACATTTTTACAGGTAAAACACTTAAACACTAATTCATTTGGCACATTTAGAATTCACTTCGCTCTTTGGGATTAAGTTTCTAAATTAGTAACAAAACTTATAGCTACGGCAAGTTATGTTGTAATACATAGAAATATAGATAAGTCTTTGTAATAAAACATATCTTAATAGAACTTTCTTAGGTCAAAGCTATATAGAATATTTTATGACTTAAAATGCTAGGGTATACAATAGACAGAAGAAAAAGATAGACATCAAAGTTGTCTAATTTATTTCTATCGGCACAAATTTACATAAGTGAGTATACAGCACTACTTAAATTTTAACATAAAAGAATCTCGTGTTACTAAAACAAAATTAAATGATACCATAGACAAAAAAACTATTTTAAAGCGCTAAACATGGTCATGTTTACAAAACATCTGAATTTTAAAACTTCTTTGAAACATCTAGGATTGAACTTATTTCAATTTTAAAAAACATGTTTGAAGACTTAACACGAATTCCTAATATAATAGTTTTCTGAAGGTTCCTGGATGTGAGTTTATTTATTCTACCATAACTTTTAAACGCTTGAAAGGATTTAGATATCATCATCATCACCAGCCTTTAATAGTCCACTGCTGTACATAGGCCTCTCCATAGAAATAATACTTTGGCTTACTCTACCACCCTGGCCAGACGGGTTTGGTATAGGGTTTGTTTTAAGTTTTCCTTCTCTTTGTAGGCCATTGACCGGCGTAATTTGGTTCCTGAGTCGGCTCTAACGACGCCCATGTGATGAATAGAGGTGGTGACACACCATTTTCTTAATCCGTCACCACATGGATAGACTACGAACATTTAGATCTCATCTCGATTGACACTGGGCATATGTATTTTTAAATTCAAGATGGCGGAGTTACAGCGCCATTTTTAATTATTCAAAACAAAATAGTAAATCGATGTTTTAGATAAGTATTCTATTTGCTAAATATTTTAAAATTAGAAATAGAGGCTGGAAAATAAGCACATACCAGATCCTGAAGGTTTTAAAATGGTAAGATTTTGTGTAAATATCCTTACGTTTGCAACTTTTGTTGACTTCTATACATTTTATGTAAGTGTTAGTTGGCAATCCGTTTATCATAATATACATTGCGAAAACATTGTTAAAACACGATATATTTGTAAAACATTGACATAAACACGGCATAATCTCATCATGGCTTGTTATAGGTAACATTACTACAATTAGGCATGTTCAAACGACTAAATATACATATAAAAACCGTAAGTCACTGTAATGCCATTTGGAGTTTACTATCTATTGTAGAGTTGGTTGCAGTATTATAACATTTTGAATGACGAGGCTGTGCGTTGAATTTGCTTTTAAATCGTGATACCAACCGGTGTGCTGCTGACATGAACCCAGTTGTGTGGAACTTATTCGGGCTGTTTAACAAAATTGTTAGCAAAATGTGGCAACCGTTAGAAGTATTTTTAAAATTCTCTATTAATCAATTTCGTGACACTAGCATTTCCAATACTTTAATTAGACGGCCGCATCTTGAGAAGGTGAAAGCTTTACACAGATAATAACTATAAAAACTTGAAATTTTAATTGAGAGGGTAATTTTTTTAACACGCCAAAAAATCAAGCATCGATCGATAATTCATTTTATTTCGACACATTACGTTCTCCTCAAATTCATGCAGAATATGGAATGCCTCATTCCAGACAGTCTACATAACTTCAATACCAGCTCTTTAAGGCCTTTTTAAGGGTTTTTGATAGCTAACTCTTCTCTTCTTGGATCCTTGGATCCTGCCAAAATGCAATGCAAGCCAAAATGCATACAAATTATATTACAACTGCGATCAACTCTACTCCTTAATACGTAAAATATATAAAAAACTTTGTTTAAAACCCTCGAAATATACATTTAACTATCTTAAATTTTAAAATAATATGTTTCCTATGACTAAATTAAGTAAAAAATATGTAGAACGTTTAAATGAATAAGATCCCAAGTTCATTGGTTCAATTCTGATGCATACCAGATAATATTCATCGGTTTGTTTTAAATTGATTACAAAAGGAATCTTTAAAAGTCTAAATTCGGTTGTTCTAGGTGATATTCACGTGAAACAAATCAAATGTGTCTATCTTTACTATATTTCTACAAAATGGCTTAAGACGAAAGATGATTATATTAGCGGACATTATCATCGACACCGCCGTGGCAGCCGGCAAGACATTGTTTGACTTCAGCAGAAAATTTGTTTCTTTGAAGGAACTACTATCTTGAGTAATAATTTTATCTGTATAATGTATCTTAAAGATTCCACCGTAATTTATTTCTTGCTCAATACTCTCTGCGGCAATAGAAACCAAGAGAGCGACACTTCTGACATAAATGTTGAGGATGTATCTTCGACTGGTCGCTTACGTCCAAACCATCTGGTTTTTCCAATGGTCTCTGTAATAATTGCAATATTTAATATTAGCTAATAGGTAACCTGGGTCTGTGGCAATTCAAAATTGTCACACGAGCTTTATAGCTCTGTATGTGTATGTAATTTTGCCAAATGTCAGTATGTAAGTGCAATTCTCTTTAGAACGGCTCCACCTATTTGGCAAATTCTTTCTTTTGTATTTAATAATTATCAGGACAATGTTTGTATGAAAGAAAATATTCGGCAGTGGCGACTTTTAGTTAAAAAATGTTCATATCAAAAGTCAGTGAGTGCAAGCAGTAAGGAGATCTTCAAATATATTCACACAATTGACGGATTGACATTTAGTTATTAAGTTGTTCAGTTTCTTACATTGTTTTACAATAATTGAATATGATCTGTGACATGTAAAAACATAAGTATTTCAGTTTTCTTTTCCCTAATAACTTCACACAACTCACACACGGCCTTCTGATCCCATACTAGACATAGCCTGTGCTATGGGAACAAGACTGCTGATAAACACACTTATATAATTCTAAACACCCAAATATTATAGAGAAATTATACCGTGACACAGACTAACGATAATGCGCAACTCATTACGCAATTATTTGTCCTGGGTGGGAATCGAACTCACTACCAGTGGGGTTAGGAGTCAGGGTCACTAAACGTTCAGGGCCTTCCTTTCTAGGGTATACCTGGTTCCCCGGCTATTAGTACCCGGCGAAGGCGTGCGGTTTTAGTCGGTTCGAGTCCGACATGCGGAAATCCCCTCGAATACCACCGACAGGTGGTATCCGAGGGGATTTCCGCACGGAAAAAAAAAACAGTCAGGCCGTGGTCACAGTCAGCCTGTGACCACGGCCGGTGCAACCTGGTCGAAACGTCAGGCAAACCAGAGGTATGTAATACCCTAAATAAGAGATCGCGTTAATTCCCGTTAAATAATATTAAAAATATTTGATGTGCTCACCTGTTTATGTGGGAAGACATTGATGCGACACTTAATACACTCCTGGCCGTTGTTCGCCCAAGAGTTCCCGCTCATCCATTTACGTTTACACTTCGGGCACTTGTATTCCCCGAAGCACCTCTTCTTACCTTGATAGGGTGTCAGGCCTTCGCCTTTTGGACGAGCCTGAAATTAAAGTAAAATATATTTTAATGAAAATCTATCACGTGATTTAATGGTATTTGAAAAAATAAGTTAAGAAATCTAAGTTACAAAATTTACTTAGTATTGCAAAATCCAAAATAAATTAATGACACCTATATAAGAATTTTATCACATTACTTTGAAAATCAAAAATTATACACTGCAAATTCAAAAATTAGCAAATTATATTACCTACACAATGAAATAAAAATTAGTATAAAAACTATAAATAAGATAAAAATGGAAACTTAAAGCTAGCTGTTGGCTATAATAATATTAAGCTTAATCCACTGACAATATGATTGACAATTGAACAAATTAAAGATGAATGAACAAATACAATTAAAATTACAATTGAGATCAGAATGTTGTTTGTGCAATGATTTTTATGATATATTTACAACTATTAAAAATATAAAAACAGACTTATCTGATAAAAAAAATGCAAATACCAACAAGAAATAAAAGGTCATAAAAGGTTGACGGCAAACAATTTCTATAACCCTTAATTTGGCACGGGTTCTAAGTGTTATATATTAAACAAAATTCTTTATGTTTGTATTTGTAGTGTACATAACAATAGGAAAAAAATTAGAAAAAAATCTACTCCCTTCAGGTTTTCAGGCAACCAATGTTTATTACAGTGAACCTTGCGAAATATTTTAAAAACTACCATTGAATTGCATGTTTACTGTGATGAACATAATCAAATTAGGTTACAAATAAAACAGCTTTATTATTATTGAGTGTTTTTAATTATAGAGAAAAATAAAATAAAAATAGACAAAAACAGTTTGAAAAAAAAAGAGTTTATGTGGGTATTATTATATTTTAGTATGAAAGTTTAGGAAACAACATGTTTATTGTACTCTCGAACTATTTGTGGACAATCAACATCTACCTTTAGCTTTTCCACCTTACAGTATCTTTTTATTTTATGCACAGTATAAAATAAAAATAATTATTATAATATACATTACAGCATACACAATAAAAGAACTTATAAGAGTGACAGGCTTATTGTCATTCCAGCGTACAACGGACAACTTCGTTTTGTCACATACTACCTGCGAAAAACTTCCTTTCTTTGTTTTCCTCATTGCTTTTTCATTTGGCAAAATAGACCCAGCACCCCTGGTTCTATTATTACGAATCGTGCCTAAGCCAAATACTCCGTAATTTTCTTTGCAAATATAAAATAACTCTGGTGAAGAAAAGAAGTTATCACAATATATGGTAGCTGGCTTTTTTTATATGGACTGACAAAGGGGTATAACAATTTGTGCTCCAAGCCCAAGTGACATTTCTTGTTCTGTGAACTTATGATACCGAAAAGTATCTTCTCCTCCATATAAGACAAAGTCATAAATCATGCCACTTACACCAGCTCGTACATAATTTTGAAAGCCCCATTTGTTGGGTTTGTCTTTCATGTATTGTTTTCTGCTACCCGCTTTTCTCCCCTTATACGGAATCATCATTTCATCTATACTAAATTTTCTTTCTTTTTCTTGCTTCAAACAGTTGTCCCTTATTTTTTCTGCTACAGGCCTTATTTTGTAATATCTATCGGAGTCTTCCAAGGCATTGTCGGCAAAATGGAGAAATCTTCGAATTTGTTGATAACGTTTCAACGTCATTAGGTCTGCTACTCTGCTATGGGAGCATACCGGAATCTACCGCTCCAATAGTGTGGATGTGGATGGCTAAAAAATCTCGTAGCTCATCTTCTATAACTTGTATGGATTTTCCAGTTTGCTGTACGGAATAAAGGTTTGTGTGTTCTGTAATATCAGCTACTATGTCTTGAGAAAAAAATAAATTAAAATAATAAAAAGTCTCGTCATTCGATGGTACAGAGGTATCAATTACATATATCTTCGTAATGTTCTTCAATTGTGGCTCGGTGATGAAAATTTGTGCTTTTTTTCCACTTATAGGTGAGGATAAATTTCGGAACCCTTCTTGAGATCTTGGCAACGGGGGCAATTGCAATTGCTTTTGGGCTCTTGTCTTCCTTATAGTTGACATTTCAGGGGTTGAGCACGGAGCTACAGATGGAAGAGACAGTACAGAAGATAATGATGGGATATTTTCGTAATTAGGCTCTCTGGTCGGTGTAGCTGGACATATTTCGCGTAAAACTAGACTCAATTTAAGTGCTATGGATGGATATGGTTCGGAATGGTTATCGTCATCATTGTTACTATCTGATGATTCACAACTGCTCAGTATATGCATGGGCTCTAAAGATGAGTCTAGAGGAGGTGGTGAAGATGAAACTAAGCTTGGGGAATGCAGATCTGCCAATTCGTTATCGCTATTTGGGTCTGATTTGTCACTAGTCTCTGAAGGTGCATGCTGTATAGGAATAAGCGCTAATATTTTTGCAGTGCGTCCTTGTATTTTATGCTGTTGGCAACCAAAAACACCAATGTAAGCAAAATGATAGCGGCAACCAGAAAAATAGTTAAACAGATTTTACATTTTTATTATATATTTAGCATAGTTCACTGAGATGAACACAACAAATTGCAATTAATTTATAGTGTATTTGACAATGTTTATCACGATGAACATTAAGTTTGTTATCTACAAGTTCGGAAAGCACATGTACACAGTTTACGCCCAAAATAATAGTAAAAAGTTTAGAGAAGTTAGCAAAGGCATTAAAACATGCATAAATCAAGAAAACAATTTTAATTACCTTACGAAGAACAGACAATCTGCCAGTCGCTGACATTTTGCTTTGTAAGTGACAGTTACATTGTTGACAGAGACATAACATATTTTTATACTATTAAAAATATTTAAGCACTATGAATTAATGATAAAAAAATACGATTTTAGTTAAAAAATATCAGCCAAACATTTTTTTATAAATATGTTTCTCACAGTAAACATAATCGAATTAATAGATAAAATATTATAATGTTAATAAATATCGATTCTCCATCTCGATTTCTCAGAAGTAATTTTATTATCTCAAAGTTTCTCCTTACATTGCAACATGTTAGGACTCGCTAATGTGCTAGGAAAATGACAGACTAGTCAGAACCTATTTCTAAATACATATAACATACATATTTTGGAAAAACTACACACAGACAAAAAAAAAGATCTTGTTTATCACACAATATTTGTCCTGGGTGGGTATCGATCAAATAGGTAATAATAATAACAGTATAACCAAGTTTTATCTTACAAAAATAGAGCAATATTATTAAGCTGATTAATAATTCGATTATCGATGAATGAATTATCTCCACACTATCAAATAAAGTTACTAAGATTGTAAATGCCATGCATTTTGTTTGGGTGTCTTTTTAGTGAATATAATAAAGACTTACAGAGAGAGACAGAGAGATTTACAGAGGAAGACCAAAGAAAAGGTGGATGGACTGGACGAGTAATTATATGGCTAGGAAGGAAGTAAACAGTCAAATGACGAATGATAGAGTAGAATGGAAGAATCATACATACTGCGCCGACCCCAAATAAAAGTGGGAGAAGGATAGGCACGGATTTTTCGCACGTGTAATATTTATTTGTACATATATAATTAAGAGGTCTTGTGTTATTTTAAAACAGGTGTTTTCCTAAATATGCACATATTTAAAACCACTCTGTCTATAAAATAATCTATTGGAAAATGTTACTTAAAAAGAAAATTATCTGATTCCTTCGACAAATATTTTGCGAAGGCATAGCAACCGACTGATAAATAAAACCGAGTAACATGGGCACTCACTCCTCGTAGGAGTGAGTGCTCTATCTAGGCAAAAAACGAACAAAAATTAGTCTAGAATAAAACGGATCAATCAAATTATAAGAAGAATTTTTATCGCTCATTCGATCAGTTCAACGTACGTTCAGTACAAAGTTGCCTTTGTAATACAAAACCGATAGAGCGTGTTGTTGGTAAGACCCGTGAGTTATAGCTAAACTTGTTCCAAGAATTGGGGACCGTAATGAACGCAGCTTTGTTTGAGATTTAACTTTGTAATCTAATGAGACCAATGTTGTTTACACGAAACGTGCGCGGTATCAAAACACATATACTACGATGTAACAGAATACTTTTTAAAGTTCCAAGATTAAACGATCAAATAAATTGCCAATAAACAATCAGTACTTAAGTTTTAACATGAATGAGATTTCGCTAACTCTGCACGTCTACTCAAGATAGTGTAACTAATAGTGAATACCCGTCTAAGGGAGAATCATGTTCTGGGTGATAATTGTGGTCAGTCGACTATAGACAAAACAATTAACGGTACGTTACAAAAGTTAAGGTTAGTAATTATAATTGCGACGAATCCGTTAAACGAATATCTGTGTGGTGACGGATTAAAAATACGGAGTGTCACTATTCCTATTCATCCAGAAGGTGTCATAAGAGCCGACTATGGGAGCAAACTACGCAGGACAATAGCACTGCAAAGAGAAGAAAAACATGAAACAAGCCCTATACCAACCCGTCGGGCCAGCGTTGTATCGTAGGCAGAAACTCCTTTCTAGCCTCTCCGGCTTATGTCCAGCAGTGGACTATCAAAGGCTGTTGATAAATCTGTTATTAATTTCTCACGTGTCACACACAGTCTTAGTATATTAATGTCGAAACTGTTCTACATTTCCACTTCATCATAAATCTTAGGTCAGGCAATTGACTCAACTCAGATAAGATGTGGCGTTTCATGAATGAAAGGATTTGTCTGTCATACTTAACCAAGCTTCTTGCTAAGAGATATAACATAATTGCTAATCAGTTTTTGATAAAAATACTACAAACCAGGTGTAGTCATTGTCGTTACATTTATAAGAAATAAGGAATAAAACTGACGCGGAAAATAGATAAGAACACACTTTGAAGAGGTTTGAATATCGTGTCAGAGTTTAAGCTTAATCAGTGCAGAACATTTTGAAGTGCACACAAACCAACCTAACATTTTTATATATAGAATAAAGATATAATTATTAGGTTTCGGACTTCATAGCAACAGCCACTTCAAGTTACAGGTATGACCTATTCTTTCATTTTTCTTTGTACCTGTGGAAGCCCCCTCGGGCCATCACCCACCAGGAACTGCGGCGGTATGCTACTCTGCGCTGTTGTTATTAAGACATCCGGACCCCTCCTAACGCCTGCCCGCCACGGCGCGGGCACCACCTTATTGCTAATACTCCCTAAAACCAGCCATATAACCTACATTCCTTTCTTAGAGTTCTTACTTCCCATCTTCTCAACTTTTCCTTTCATGTTGAACTCGGAATTTTCTCGAAGTGGCTGATTAACATCAAGGCTTGTCGGCTATTACATACATATCCAGTTGTCCAGCAATTTATAACTAAAAGGTTCAACTCACGTTTGACCAATTTTTCAGTCTTCTCATTACAACATACATAGTTTTAATACATTAGTAATTGAAAGGCGACTAAGGGAGCAAACTAAACAGGACAAAATCACTGACATAACCCTATACCAACCCGTCTGACCTGCGTGGTATAGTAGGCCAAAAGCCCCTTTCTAAGGAGATACCTTTGTCCAGCAGTGGACTATTAAAGGTTGTTGTGATATGCGATGGTTAAATGAGAAATAAACAAACCAAAAACAGAAATAATATGAATTATATTACCAGTTTGTGGAGATTGATTAAGCGGTAGGAGCTCTAAAAATATTACATATACAAAATATGCTGTCTTCTTTCGTCATTCGATTAAAGACATATGAATCCAAAAGCTATAGTGTTTTCTCTTGATAGAAGTAAATTATTATAAATAAATCGTGTGAATTTGGCACATTGCCGAAGTTCTTCAGCAGACACGGGGCGTTGCTTTGGTAACGGAAATACTATTTAGAACACAATTATTCCGTTTCAATAACATAAAACCACGAGATATCTCTTAAATGTGAACGTACAATCAGTATTTTAGTTTTAAATGATTTGTTTACCGATTTTGTGGTGACTATATCGATATATGAAACTGTTAAATGGTAAACTGCTTTGAATGTGTGTTATATATAATAATAAGGTTTGCTATTTTAGGTTTTGCAAAGTGCTTTAAAGAAAAATAACATTCTTAGTATTTCTCTAATGAAAGAAAACCTACTTTACAATATTATTAAGTAACAACACTATGTCCAATCCATGCAGGCGTACCGCAGGGTAGCGTGATGGGTCCTACGGTTTGTTGGAGTCAGTTCAGTTCGAGGTACATCAAAGCGATTGAAATGAATAGAATTCCGGACTATTGATGAATGATTATGAAAGTTTTTAATTGTAGTGAAAATAAAGTCTATTTAGCCGTTAGAAGGTTTATTATTCCGAATCAACCAACCCTAACACGTAACAATAGTCCACTGCTGGATATAGGCCTTTACTTAGAAAGGAAGTTTTGGCCTACTATAACACGCTAGCCAGACGGGTTTGATTCAAGTTTTTCTTCTTTTTGTAGTGCTGTTGTCCTGCGTAGGTTGCTCTCAGTCGGCTCTTACGATCCCCACGGGATGAACATTGTGGTGACACTCCTTAATCTTAATCCGTGACCACACTGCTGGTGATGAACATACTTATGTATTTCAACAAACACATTAACAATGAAAATGGTCATGTACATAACATAATTGTTTGTCCGTGGAATGTCCGTGTGGTGACGGATTAAGAATACAGTTTCACGACCCCTATTCATCCCGTGGGTATCGTAAGAGGCGACTAAGGGAGAAAACTACGCAGGACAACAACACTGCAGAGAGAAGGAAAATTTGAAACAAACCCTATACCAACCCGTCTGGCCAGCGTGGTATAGTAGGCCAAAACCTCCTTTCTAAGGGGAGGCCTATGTCCAGCAGTGGACTATTAAAGGCTGTGGATGATGAATGATGATGATGAGATGGGAATTGAATCCACGACGTCAGGTTTATCAGTCACGATCATTAACGATTACACAAAAATGTATTGCGCTCAGAGGACAGAGATTTTCGTCAAATGAAGAGGCAACCACCTTCGAGAGCCAATCAATTTTGCAGAGAAAAACGCCGAGTACTATTTAGACGGGTTACAGAGATGGGAGCATCGGTGGGAGAAGTGAATAGAGTTACAAGGAGACTATGTTGAAAAAAAAACATGAAAAAAGGTCTTGTATATTTATTAGGTCGGAAACTTTTCAGACCACCCTCGTACACATTAATAGTATTTTTATCCCCCATAGCTAAACCATATCAGGGTAACTTCTAGCGTAATAAAAAAATATATTTTTTATTATGGTGAAATGAAAAATACATACAACAATAATGTATATGGCAAAACAACGTTTGCCGAGTCAGCTAGTATATATATATAAATATATATATATAATATATTTCTAAATACAGACATATTATAGACAAATTACTTCCAGACACAGAACAAATGATCGTGCTCATCACACAAATATTTGTCCTGAGTGGGAATTGAACCCACAATCTCTGGCTCAGCAGTCAGGGTCATTAAATGCTATACTTACTAGTATTAATATAAAAGCTTCTTACTTGTAATGGTTTTATTAAACTTCTTAACCGATTATCACGTGACTTTGCATTATTAAAGATAAAAAAAACTGGGGTAATTTTCATTCTAAAAAATAAAGAATATCCCAGAGACACGTAAATTTTTTGATAAAATATTAAAGCGACCGAAGCCTCGGGCTGCAACTAGTGTTAAACCTTACCTGAGGACAATCCCCTATATAATGCCCTTTCTTGAAACACAAATGGCACATATAGGCAGGAGGGGGAGGCCTGGGTGGACGCCGTAGGGAGAGAGCTGCCAGCTGTTCCGCCAATGAACTGGTGTCGTCGGCAGGAGGCGCTGCAGACCCCGGCGCAGCCGTTGGCAGAGGACCCCATACTGAACCAGGCACCCACTGGAATCAAAAAGTAATAATTAATGCTGTAGTGCAAATATTACTATGGTACACTGTAATGACCAACATTGTGTGACGGTAGTGGCTACAACATCAGCGGTCGCGAGTTTGATTCCTGCTCGGTGCAATTACACCGCTCGAACGGAGTGATATGATTTATGTAAGTTTAGCTTAGTTTTATGTATTTATTGAAATAAAAAAATTATAACCAGTGATTACAATTGTAACGTCGGTGCACCTTTTACCTACATGCATCTACACCACCCAAAGATTGACTGGTAGAGAATGCCCAGAAGGCCAATTCTCATCATAAGAGATCGGTCTCAATTCAGTTCCGATCAACTTTCGATCTCACAACTGTCCTAAAAGGTATTTTCGTAGTAAAGTATTAAACATCCAACGTTGACTGTAATGTGATTATATCGTATTGTAACCGAACATTGAATCGATAAACTATGCTGGAAATTGCCTTAGGTAGATAATAATAGTTAGTCTTAATAATACGTTCTTATTTTACTTGTGATTTATTCGTAATAATCTTACCGATGAAATGTTATAACTTTATTAGTTCAATTACACGTCCCTGATGCGGTTTACCCATTATGTTGCAGTTAATCATTTTAACAATATTAATTCACATACGACGCTCTGCGCAATCAAATCACGAATCAAGTCAAGTCAAGCGTCTATTCGACTTCTATTATTACGATTTCTATGATTAGATCTCTAAAAACTATCGGTCAACCTTAAAAACTTTGTATAGGATCAACGGATTGGATAATGTTGTGTTACATTACGCTACGAGCCTTAACAGCAAAGAAATAACCAAATATTTAGAAATAATCGAATCGTAAAATTCCAGATTGTCTTTCAAATGCGTCGACATTTCTAGACGTCTTTAATCACGACCAATATGCGGGATGATTAAACAAATGAAATTGCAGTAAATAATGAACAACGCGCTCCGATTGGTCGGCCGAGGAGCGCCCGCGCATCTGTTCAACGAATTATTGCGCTCGTTCCAATTTCAAACGTGCGTTGACGCCGTGAATCACTCACACAAATGGTATAAAATGCTAATGTGTTTTTTAAAGATTGGTTTAATATGGCTTATGGCTTAAAAGTAATACTTTAGTTGTCAAGTCAAATCTGTTCCTTTTTTCTAGACGTTCCAAACTATATGGTCTTAAGAAACTTGTATAATATAAAATAAGGATTTATGATCTCACGGCCCGGTATACTTAAATCATATATCTATATATATATATCTTTTAATGGTTGGTGTGACAGTTAAAAAAAAGTAACTTGAGCTTGACTAGTGAGAACAGCGATCCTCACTAGTACAGACATGCAGAAGGACGCTTATTGTAACTACAAGGGTCATCTCCACACCGCACCGGAGCAAATAATTATATCGCAATATCGTAGGTGAGCAATAAGGAAGTGTCCAGGAAACTTTGAAGACTTTGACAGCAGATTAGCAGACGGACACACCGAAGAGCCCCCCGAATTGCTCCCTTCGGTTTCGAGAGCCGCGCCGAACACGTGGTGTCACCGTTTCAGAGTTGTTTATTTACTTATTTTGTTTTTAATTTAAACATCGTTTTACAAGATGCAGTGAATGAGAAAGGCAAAGGGCAAGTAATTTATAAAGATTTAAGAGTTACTTGACGATCCATGGAAGTTTGTACACGAAAACGTTTTGGAAAGTTGTTTGTTAGGAAAGTTTGTGGAATAATTGTATATATTTTGTAGTGTAATTATTATAATATTTATGTACTTATTTGTGTATTCCTTTATGTACTTTTGAATAGCACTATTAATTTAATTAAGATTATGCCTTTCAATTTATTTAAAATACACACATTTAAGTTACAATTATAATTTTTTTTTTTTTTTTAAGTCAGATCATATAGCCCGCCCCGCGTCGCTCCCGGTGCAAAGGTGCCCATGATACTGGCAGCATTGCCTCGCTGAATTGCAACGGACATTCTTTGCACCATAAACGAGCCGGAGCGGGAGTCACCACTTTTTTCCCTAACTCGGCGACCAATCTCCGCAATTAACTTTTTAGCTTCTGACCCCCAACTGCCCAAAGTCTCCACCGCAATAGGCACAAAATAATAGTGCGTCTCCATTGCGGCGTATTTTGATCGCTTCCTACTAGCGGCATCCTCCGCCGCCGCCGCCGGGGCTTGGACGGTGCGACTCAGATGTGAGGCCGCGACTGTGCTAACGCATGTGGCGTCCCATACCAAGCACTTGCCGTTTTTCCACGGCACCAAAGTCAAGCCATCCGGCACTATTAATTGTAATTTTATATTTATAAATGTAGGTATAGTTCATAGCTTTTTTTCTTCTTTTCATTGTACCTATTCCCTTCCATACCGACCCGGCCGACCCGCCACTCCTGCTGTCATTCTTTTTAAGTGTGGAAAGCCCTCGAGAACTCACCGCACCGGAGTTTGTATCGGCGCGGTGTGTCGGAATCGAACCGAATAAAACCACACCGACAGCCACTCTGCCCCTGCAATAGGAGGGATTTGGGATAACATCTTTGAATCGCCCATCGTGCTGTCTGCCTCAACCTCTAGGTATGGAACAATGACAATAAATAATAGTAACATCTATACTACTGATTACTAATTACTGATTACTGAAATATGATTAAACTTCGTTTGAAATAAGAATCAAAACAAGTTACATTATTATACGGCTGATATGAAGACAGATAATTTACAGCTTAATGTTACACGTTTGTTTATTGGCGGGCATCTAAAAATACTCACTACACCGCAGTGGGCGGAGCAATTTTGGGAAACGTTAACAATGTTCTAAATATCGTTAAAAGAGCAATTTGTTTACTGGAAGAAATGGAATACATTATGATTTGCTTATTTTAGGGATGTGCTTTTAGTGAGAAAGTAAATTAGAGTTCGTAGGTTCTGTCCCACCCTGGACAAATAATTTATCTATAATATGTAATGTATTCAGAAATAGGTATATTATTATTTTTATAGGCAGATTGGTTACCATAGTGGCCGTGTGTAAAATGTGTAAAGTTATTACTATTTTAAATATTTTTGCATGTTGAGTGAATATTTACTACCAGTGTGGCAGATATTCGGTATTGGCATATCAATCGTAATGAATATATATAGGTACGTATGTTATGAGATTTGATGTTCTGGTACCACTACCGATGGTTGTAACGTCCAGGCATATTGCTTTTAACCATTGTCAAGAATTAGGTTATAAAACGCGAAAACCTTTTTTATGCAATAGGAGGCAAACGAGCAGTCGGGTCACCTGATGGAAAACGACTACCGTCACCCATGAACGGCTGCAACTCAGGAGTTACAAGCGCGTTTCCAGCCTTTGAGGATGGAGTACGCTTTTCACACCTACATACACATACTTTAACAGTTTATTACGTTCATAAAAGAAAAACAAGCTGTTTATCTTTTTTAAACTAATATTATGTTGTTTCTTATGTTAGCACGTCACTTCAATCAGCATGTGAGATGAGCTAAAGTGTCGTTGAAACTCGTTGCTTGATGATAATTTTGTTTTAAAGATATTTTTAATAAATTACTGCCAATATTGTACCTTTATTTTATTTGAATCCACGCAAGTTTTTCAGTTGTTTATTTCACGAACATATTACACGATCTTTATGGTTTGACAGTGGTGTAAATATTTGATATAGTCGGATAGAATTAGCGAATCCACGAATAAAATTCAGAACCTCTTTTATTTTTTTATCCATTAGTTGACAACGTTACGATTAACATATTTCATTTCAACGCAGCTTCGTTCGTGGGCACATTGTTAAAAAAATGTCAGAAACTGTTAAAAACGGTTTATCGCGTTTTACAAGAAATCTTCGTACAAAGAACTGTAAATTTAAGAAAAAATAATTTCTTTGCAAATTGTAAAATACCGCTTAAAAAAATAATAAATCGCGTTCTCATCAATATTAAGCCCCTTTGGAAAGAATGTAGGTTTTGTAGCCTCCAGTTCCTTTGTAACCTTCAAAATTTCATCGGCTTTAAACTTCTTGCAAAACTTAAAAAAAACTGAAAAAAAGGCCGTCGGGAGAATGGCTCAAAAATTTTTTGGAAGCACTTGGAATGAATTTTCAAAAACGCTTTTGTTTGTCGAGACTTCATCTATAACGAGGTAAAGTGCCGTTTTATCCAGTTAAGAAGAAATACTGAAAAAGTCAATTTTCAATAATCGTAAATTTGCACTTCAAACCCAACATTCTCATAAATATAGATAAGTTTTCTACAATAGAACCCATAGTGGAAGCTTTACTTAATTTAGGTCCAGATAGCGATGTGACGTCACAGAATATTACTATTGTTAATGATACCCTGCACCAGTACCTAGTTACCAATGTTATATCTTATTTTACAAAATTATGACTTCTTATATTTCATATAAACGGTTACGTCCTGTCCGCCGCTTTGATCAGCTTGATACCTCACCGTAAAGATAAAATTATGATAGCTGATATAATATTCTTACGGAACTTTCTTACATCGTCGGAAGTTTCTGGAAATATAATAATGCAATATGCTTTGTCGTTGACAATACGAATAAGGATTAAGAAAAAATCTCCAAATACTACCGATTGGCTAGTTTTTACTAGACTGTTACAAAAATTACCGTTTAAGGCTTAATCTCTCATAAACGGATATTCAAGAATTTTACCACTTTGTGTGATTATTATGTATTTTCATGGGAAATTACAGGTTTCTAGCATTAATAGTATGAGAGATATAGTGGGAACAGACGAACGGACGGACATGACGAGACCATAAGGGTTCTGTTTTTGCCAATTTGGCTACGTAGCCCTAGAACCGGAACCGGGCAAGTGCAAAACTGACTCACGCACCAAGGGTATGTAGATAATTAATCCATCTAGGGAACCAATATTCGAGAGTTTTACTTGTTTTTTCTTAAAGACAAACTAAAATGACATTTTAAATATA